TTTTAAGATTATAACTCTTAGAACAAACTACTCTGTAAAGTCGACTGCCAGATGTCGCAGCTTTCCCTATATAAATTTATTGTTGTTGTTTCCCGTTGGACGTATTCTCACGTGGTCTAGTGGCTAGGATATCTGGCTTTCATCCAGAAGGTCCGGGTTCAATTCCCGGCGTGGGAATTTTTCTTATCCATTCTGGTTAGCAGCCCCGTAAATAAAGATATTTCCGTTTCCCGTTGGCCGGCTCAAACATTTTGTAGATATGTAAATATATGTCTTTTAATTTCTTTTTTACGCCTCAAATCAGGTATTTCTTCTTAAATTGTTTCATTAGCACAATTAAAGCAAATTTTGATTTAAGCTATTTTATTATTCTTACCACGACTGCAATATCATAAAATGCCTATACTGCATAATGATATCATAAACTACTCATTTACTGCATACTATTGCCAAAATGCTTATGTATCCTCAAAATAATCAGCATCAGCAAGTAATAATTTTATATCTCAATAATATTCTAAAATCAACAGAAATTTATTATATATAAATATTTTATGATATTATTTCGTTCAGAATGTAATTTTTGTTATATATATGGCAACGTGTTTAAAGTTGCGTAGGCCGCAGCCTTCCCTGAAAACCTCCCACGCACCAGAATAACGAAGTCAATTTCGGCCAATACTTAAAAAAACATCTTATTTCACTTTAGAATTCGATATATATATTTTTTCCGATGTGGTTTGATTTTCAAATTTGATATCTTCGATAAATTCGATAAAATTTCAATTCCATTGATCGCTAAGAACTAACTCTCTCCCTCTATAAATGACTTGTATGTATTCAGCACATGGGGAATTTATATTGGATTTGTAGATAATTATATATAAATTTAGGTTTGATAAAGAAATAAATCGAAAAAAACATTAATGGGATATCCCTTTTTCCCTTTTAAAACATAATTCTTGGTATTAGCTCGCTCTATAAAATACTACGTGCGGTAACTATTATTTATTTAAGTAACCCAGGTTCCTGGAGCGTACAGAAGTCGCCAACTACCCGGGATGTCCTTCTGACCTAAGTCTTCTTGGATTTATATACAATGCCAGTGGAAGTCCAATTAATGAGGTGTCGCCAGGCAGATTTCTTTCTTGGGAGATTTTCTAGGGATGCTGGACATATGTTGGTGATACCTAGGAGAGTGGCTGTCTGGAATCTTTGGTATTGGAAGGTTGGGCAAGTGAAGAGTAGGTGGTCTACGGTTTGGTCTTCATCTTGGCAGTGGGGGCAAATTGGGTCTTCTTTCGATACCGTTGCAAGGTCTGCCTGAATGTAACCATGGCCGGTCAAGATTGTTGTGGAGGTAGATCCATGCTTGATGTTTCACATAGGTAAGTTTCACACATCGCCCCTCAAATATCTACAAACCCTATGTTTGCGTGCGGAAGAATAAAAATGTAATAATTTTTCATTGTCGTGATGGTTGATGTTAATATAAATTGTTTTACGCAAAATTATTTCATTCTCAAAATGACGCGCCATATTGTTTACCTATCCAAAGAAGTATCATGAAAGAGTAAATGAAAGGATATTCATTAAATCCAATTGCAGTTAACAGCAGTACATATCTCCCACTGTTTGGGTAGAGACTTATACCTAGGTAGAAAATAAATATCTTGGCCATTAATGCTACCAATCTCCATATGTCTTCTTCATTGCATTGTCTGATGTAAATGACTCTGTATGCTCGGCTTCAACGGCCAGAACAAGTGAAAGAAACTCCGCCTTTGCCGTTCCCAAGCCCGGATGAAAAAGTAGAAGAGAGAGAAGTAACAAGCTCACTGGTGGGCTCAGCTGACCCGGCTTATAGTACCCAGTAAAGGCTCCTGATCTAGGGATTCAGGATGAGCAGCGTTTGTACTTCATGTTAGGAGTAGCTGCACATGGCGTCTTTTCCTCATGTCAGAGGCAGCCATTTCTTTTGGAGATAAGTCGGCCTGCTAGTAGTGCTCCCAATCTTAATGAGAAAAGCAAACGCATTATATATATGATGGTTGATGGTATGATGTTGTAATATCATATATTATATATATGATGGTTGTTAAATACCACATCATTGATTGTACTGACTCATTCATTGTTGAGCTCTACTTATCCCTATTAGACACCATCAAAAGTTTCAAGCTCTAAGCTTGATACCCTAATATGATTGAGTGGAGATAAGAAAGAAAAACGAGAAAGACAAGTGGAAGTAAAAAGGTCTTAAGTCATAGGTGCTGTAAGAACATTACTGCTTCGTCGTAGACGGGCGACATTGTCCTTTGAATCTTTTTTGGGGTTCCTCTTCTCTAACCACAAATCCTATCGCAACTTTCAGTGGTTTAGAAGGATTAACGATACGGCGCGTTATTTGTAATAAATGGATTTTGTCTAAACGACTATTATTAGCTTAAAGTTATATGTCTAAAGAAGATAGGAAAATCTCCTTCCACACACAAATACGTTTTTTTTCGCTACGTAGGAATCAGGAAGGATCGAGAAGAGGGCTTCTCAACTTACCTATTTACCGCCGCAAGTAGCTGTAAAATAATAATAAAAAAAAAAACTAATTAATCGTCAATATAAAAATTTAAAAGTAATATATGAGGTTATTTTTATTATATATGACCTTTTGTAGGAAGCATTTTGTTTCAAAACACACTTTTCTACTATATATCAAAACAGAAAATAAAAAGCTAGAGAACACAGTGTCTCTTCTTAAGAATTTATATATTTATTCTATCATAAAATCTATGTTACAGATTTAATAATGAATATTTGGTATGTGCTTATCCTTACCTACACTGATTTTATAATTAATGAAAAAAAAAGCAATAAATTACGATTTTTGTAAATTACCGAAAGATTATCAACCTTCCTTTATAATACATATTGTTATAGAAATATGTGAACAAAAAATAAAGTTTCAACTATTTTCAACCCGCATGTTCCTTTTAAAAATAAAACAAATTCCTACTACCCTTATTGAAATGATAAAAAACAAGAAAGGGCAATAGAAAAATGTTTTATCATTGCAGTATGGGTAGTGGAAACTTGTTTTATTTAAAAAAGAATCATACACGCGTACCAGTCAAAAATAATTTAAATTTCTTATAACATATGACGCCCTAATGCATCATACAAAAGAAAGTATTTGAAATTTCTTGCATTAAAAAAAAATTATGATGGGTTTTATATGGATTATACAGAAGATTGGTATAAGGGGTTTAAAGATAATGTTGTTCTATCATTTTGTTCCTTGATATTTGCCCATCCGAGAGTGTATTTATGGCAAGAGCAGGCCCATCTCACCGATCTCAATCCATCGCCCCAACAGATGGACCTATCAGCCACGAGAGTACGATCTATAGTGATTAGAAAGAACTGTTCTAAATGGCTCTTTCCACCACTTATCCTCAACAACATCCCCTCTACCTGGGCTTCATGGCTGTGCTATGTGGTAGCTACAATTCACAAGAAAAGGTAACGCAACGATAACAAAAATTAAAACGAATTTATCTTTTTTTATAACCATTATATGCATTGAATTGATTCAGAATTCTGATAAGCAGCTATTTCAATAGAGAAAAGGCATTTATAATGGATAATCAAATTTAAACAGAAATAGAAAATTAATTTTTATTATATCTAAGTACAAGGTTGGGTGTGTGTGTCCCAAAAGTTCGCAAACACTTGCAAAAAATTGAATTCGGATATATATATTTTATAATCTGTATATAGCAATATGTAACCCCAACCCTATCTATGCAATGTATCGTCAAAAGATTTAATAAAAGTTAGGCCTCGCAAAAAGGGAATATAAATTAACAGGATTGCATCATCCAGGAAGTAAAGGTCACTGCCCAGGACCCCCATAAAACTTAAGTTCAAAGACCTTCTTCTTCCTGGAAGATTGCAATCATGGCGAAAATGGAGGTACTAAGCCAACCACAGTTAAGCATGACAAATCAACAACCAATCACCTTTAAGCATGACCAACTGATAGCGAATCATCATAGAGCACGTGGAAGGATCTCCACCAATGAGAAGCCGAGAGAGTTAATGACGTTGATCTCGGACAAGAAGTTAAAAAGAAGGTAGGTGACCGTGCTAGAGGCAAGGTGTGCTCAACTTAGGCTCCAACCAAGGTAGTGTCCGCTCCATCATGTGAAAGGCAAAGTACCTCCTCCAGTCTCATCACTCTCCCTTTCGCAAGATCTATTTTCTATCCCATCCAGGTGTACTAGTTATTCCCCTGTGGAAAACCACCATTCGACCAAGACTGCGCCATCAATCACCAATCCAATCAAATCCACCCAACCACACAAATCACCAATTCAACATAATCCGACATAGGATTCAACAATTCACCAGGACTCACCAGGATTCAAACGAACGGGTATTTACAGTGAGTCGACAGGATCTTACACAACTTGACAGGATCCTACAGTAAGTTTACACAACGACAACCTTATCCTACAGAGAGTCGACAGGATACAATACCGATTCTCACATATGAATATTACTAGCCGAATGACCCGGGCAACGCCCGGGTTTTACCCGATTAAATTCTTTTATTCAAATACTATTCGTTACAATTATAAATTGGAGCCGTGGATGTCATTCTTGTATAATATATAAATGAGTTTTAAAAATTGTAAAAAAAAAAAAAATGCATCGGCCGGGAATCGAACCCGGGCCGCCCGCGTGGCAGGCGAGCATTTTACCACTGAACCATCGATGCTTATGAGAAATGGCCATATTTGGGTATTTATTCCATTCACAAAAGCAAACGGTGACAGAATTAAGAATTGATTGATGACTCTGATTCTTGTATATTTTAATTATGTTAGCATAATGAATTAGTCAGTATTCCCATGGTCTCCAGCGAAGAGGTGTGAATTGACTTTTTGAAAATATACATAATTATAAAGATAGAAGCTTCTATAGAAATAACTAAAATAAGCCGAAATAGCTCAGTTGGGAGAGCGTTAGACTGAAGATCTAAAAGTCCCTGGTTCGATCCCGGGTTTCCCTTTTTTTTTTAATTTTTAAATTTTTACTTACCGTAGCTTGACACGTGACTTAACGTGACAGAATTGTGCATGACTCTGATAACTGTATATATTAATTTGAGCTTTAAGATTATTTTCTATAATTATTATGCCTTGTAATTTTTAAAATATTATTTTATTATATATAATTATTTTTTCAAAACAAAGATAGTTTTTGTAACGCTTCCTTTGTATGGGCTTAGCGTAATTACAAAATCAATCTTTACATTAAATTGCTAAAAACATTTTGCATAGATATTTTTCATTTTAATTCATTAATCGAGATAACTATAGCATTTTCACTCACATGTAAATGCTTTCAACATATATTTAGATTATTAAAATCATAAGATATGAAAAATATGTTTGTGCTTGTATATAGAAATTGATTAAATAAATGACTGAAGAGCTCAAATTTATTTAAAAATACAGTTAAGAGAACAAAAAGGAAGACATTTCATACATCTCTCTCTATTTATAAATTTATATAAATTAAAAATACATATTTATTTTTCAATAAATGTATAATAAAATGATTTCATAGAAGGATGCACTTCCTAAGGAGTGACTTCCATAGGGTAAACATGTGAGAATTCCTTAGACATGCTGCCATCAGCAACACAACATATAAACACAGACTATATAGCAATGCTGGAAGGCCAGAAAAGACCAAAAAATGCGATATCTATTATACACGTGGTAATCGAATTAATCATACCATTTGACTATTATTACAACTACGACCTGCAATAAATAGAGATTTACTAAGAGCTAAAGAGCTAGGAGCTTTCACGCGATCAAAAAGCCTGTAGTTGAAGTGAGCAGTTTATTTTTTTTGTCGTTTTTTTGGCTTTTAATGAAGCTACATAGTGTTAGTCTAAGTGATAATATTGGCCAGATAAATTTCCTAGAAATTCTATTGGTATTTTTATAATTGTATGATTTGTATTTTTGAATAAATTAATTCCATATAGGACTGAAGCATGGGTGGTGAGCTCTCCCAGTTAAATAAACCAGGCCGCTTAATTTGGCTGCTTGGCCTATGTAGCAAGCAATCTAGTGAAATTAATAGAAAAGGTATCTACAGAAACTTTGGAAATTAACTTCTCAGGAACTTTATAAATTTTGCCATTAAAGAGAGAAGCGTTCATAACTCAAGGCATATCAATCAATGTTCTTCCACAATTGCAAGACAAAGACGAAAATACAACATATTACATACCAACAGATATACTTGTACATACTTGTACAACATATATGTTGGTAACAGGTGGAAATAATAATCACATCCAGATTTAAGTTTCTTTTATAAACTTTTTATTCAACTGTAAATACAAAGCGCGATGTCCCGCCAAGGACACTGGCGCCCAAAGGAAAGCAATACAAGAGAGAGAGAGAGAGAGAGAGGGAGAGAGGGAGAATCTATTTTTATATCCAAAAACATATGCACAAGGCATTTACCATTCTTGAAATTGTTTTCAAACAAGCATAATGTATACATAGGTAATATAGTTTAAACACACCTCAAAATTAAGAAAAAAGGGGGAAAAAATCATATATACAGCACATAGTTACAATTATACCTATAACACTTGAGATTATTTAA